GCCTTGCACGGCTTATGTATTGCGAAGTTGCATCCCCTTGGCACCGAAAATATTCATTTCGTAAGAGGAGCCTTTACCGATGTCCTCTACTATGGCAACTCAGACTCATTTAGAGGGTACGGTAGAAGAACTGTTTCGTAAAAGATGCAACCTCCTGTTTTTTAGATAAGGCATGAATGACGCGTATAAATGGTCCTGTTGGCTTTTGAAGAAATAGAACCGTACTCGTTCCTAAAGAAGGCTACACCGAAGAGATAAACTCACATCCACTTCCCAACCCTACCCCCTTCCTGTGGATCACCTCCGTCGGTAAACCAGGCATTCATAGTTAACTTTCACATTATATCAGGCATGAGGAGATTTTACACATTCGAGAATTTGGGACTCCCTTAGCATACTGAACCGGCATCTTTCCCACCAAACTCCGGTGAGCTCCAGGCTTGTATATCAAACCGGGCCCTCGTCATTAGAGTTATCGCAGTGACCTTCGACTTCTGTCGTAGGCAATCGATATCTCCTAGTCAATAATAGGTCTTTATTGAAACCCAATAGCAGTGAGTTTTGATTACTTCTGATAGTCGGAGAAGTCTAATGTGGCGGCTGACTGTCCCGCGCAGTCGAGTTCTAAACGAAGGTCTCAAGACATCCTGACGAGTTCGCTGATATTGACTCGAAATTATGGGTAACTGCTATAACGTGGACGTCTAAATCCAGGCTCGTAAGTGTGAGTACCAGCCAGATATCACGGATACCCCACTATACGTGATAACTGGGACGGCGTTCATTTAATTTGACTAATGGGCCTGTTGACATAATTCGCACTCAACGAGGAAAAAACAATTCTGAATGTTATAACGTCAAAGGGGTGACGATTTAATCTCAAAAGTTCGGGCGGTCTCAACTTTCCTGAAGGTATAATTATTTGTGATTCCATTACACTCCTTTATATGGTAGGGGCCGTTCACTGACTACGTTACTGGACACACTCGTACCGTTTGACTTTTAACCAACATGTCGCGGGATCGCGCCTCAGGCGTTGCAAAGTCTGGGATTAGGTATGATTGGCTGACAATGGCTAATAAGCCAGAAGTGGCCATTTCAATCCCCTGTCTTTGTCCGTAATGTCATTGCTACTTCATACTGTTGGACATGTTAACAGACTTAAAATTTCATGAGGCCTTTAACGTACTGATGATCGGTAACGACCGTGAAAGAGCTGTCTGCGTCTGGCCTGTTGCACTCTTAATGAGCTGCTTATGAATTTCATTCTCTCTTGAGGCCGATGCCTACGTAAGCTATCTCAGCCATTTCAACGAACTCCTCTCCGGGATGAATTTGAGCCCGCTGATTTACCAGGACACAATAGAAGTTGCATCTTAGGGGGTTGCCGACTAAAGTGATACCTCTGTCCTCCTTTAGAACGGTGACCCTTGATATGACTTTTATGCGAAATCTTTGGTCTTTGTGTGGTACCCATAAAACCGGCTTCAGCCAAGGCGCCCGTCATTGCTCTTTTCTGCCAATGGAAAACGGTGAATTTTGGATGGCAGCGTGCGGTCGATGCTGCACAAGTCTGCATCCGCATAAAAAACATGCAAAAGCCAACGCTAAGCATTCCTCTGGACTGCGGTGTTCCTCGCCGTTTTCGACGCAAGAACAGCCGTCTTCTTCCCCCATTTTTCACAGTTTGCTTGCTCAGCCTAGAAGGTGACAAGAATAGACTGATGACGCCCAATAGGCCGGAAATGGCCGTCCCGGTCACCCCCCCCCTTTTTGTCAGTATGCCATTTCAACATCTATTCATGGCTATTATGTGGCTGAATTCGTGGGATGAGCATGTTCCGTACCCCGATCGGGGAATGAAATCTCACCATAATTTATAAGTTCGATGTTTGAGCGCCTGACAGGCCTCCTTCCACCTCTCACGATAACACGAAGCAGCATCCAGTCGTAACCTTGAAGAACGAGTTGGAATTTCATTGGATATCTTTATTTCCTCGTCTATTTGTAATACGTTTGAATAAACAACCCTGGCCTTTCTATCAAAGGTCCAAATAGGGTCCTCCAACTCGAGATTGGCGTCGCGTTAGGCATCGCTAAAAATTTCAAAGTCAACAGGACTGACATGTGCTCGCAGGCTACTCTTGCGAAATAGACCCGCCCGCTCCCGAAGGATGTCATTGATCAGATGTGTTTGTTTCTGGATTACTAATCAACACCTTATTTCGGATACCAATGTACATTGTTTGGAGATTGGAAGTGACGAGTGGGAAACTCACCTAATCCGTTCAGAAGTATCGATTTTAAAACAAGCCCGTGTGTACAAGTGAATGTTACATATATAACATCCCCAGTGCTGATGCTGTTCACCGCCTCAGTAGAACCTACCGAAAAAACACCAAGTGTGAAAGGTAGTGTGGGTCTGCATTATTTAGTATGAAAAGTTTGGGGAACGCCTTTCAGGGATCAAGCTTTTGCTGACCATCGGCTCTTCCTGATTTGAGACCCATCCGAAATGGGGCGAAAGCAGAATTCAACATGCGAAAAAATGATGCTACATGAAAATCGGCTATTTAGCGGTAAGAAGTTATTTTTTGCTGACGTCTGGTTAAATTTTTCATGTTAACATATTTTAAGTTGAAGTGGCACGAAAGTTGACTAGAAACAAAATTTATTTAAATGGCTCTCTCAAGGATGGTGTGGGTACGTACGTGAAAAAGCTATAGAAAGCAGAAAAATCGATAAAATGATGAACCTAACTGGAGTTAGGGAAGTGATAACTAAAAGAATTCCACAGCTGCGCTAGAATGGGTTTAAGAATAATTTTCTATAAATCCCCTCAGCATGTTTTTGTAATGACGACTCGTTCACTGATTCATTCGCAGACTCTATTTCATCCTTTTGTGAAGAACCACGAGTGTCGGTAGCCCACGGCGTGCTGCTTGGTTCCAACACGTACTGCGAATCCAGATGATGTAACGAATTTTTCCATTATCGTTTCTGTGTTTGCCACGTTTGATACATTTCGGGCCCCCATCCCGCCGCCTGTACCTAGCACGCTGGTTATTTGGCCTGTGCCTCAAGGATCTCTTTTGAATGCAACAGGGTACTACTTTAAGGCAGTTTTCTGAACCTCAACCATTAATTTCGGAGGCCATTAAACGGCCACTAAACTACAACAGATCTTAGCAAATTTACAGCGACCACTTAGGGTTCTTTGGCTAGTGTCTGTTTGCTCGGCATTTAAAGGTATCAAGATGGCAGCCCATGCAGTTTAGAAATGCTGCCTACCTTATGCTGATCAAAATAGTCAATATGTTTGACACTTGCTTAGCACATTCTCCCGAGCCAATTTTAATTGTAAACGCCCATGTTTTCAACCGAACTCAGGCAAAGGAGAATCAGTCCCTTCAGCCATGTGATGACCTCTTAGGTAGTGTCACTTTCACTCTAGGGAGCAAAGAAAGGCAAATTCAACCGTCTTCGGAAAAGTTAGTGTCTATCATGAAAGCTTGACAGTTGCTCAGGCATTTGGTTTAGCTGGGTTTGGAGTCCGCAACATCGAAAGGTATGGCCCTTAATTTGAGAAAGAGGGAGGGCCTACAGGGGCAGATTTACTGGACTGCTGACGGTTCAGAGAGCTTGGTCGGATCATCACTGTCAAGGCGTAGAAAGCACAAAATAGGACAGGGACGAGATGGGACCGACTTACAGTAGGTGGGCTAACTCACGAAATGTCAATCGAAATTCCGAAATGCGTTTTCGTTTCAAAAAGATCAATTAAGTAGGGTTGTAAAACTAGTCAGTCTGCAAAATAATTCCATAATATTTCAGTTTCCTCAGGATGCCGGCTTTCGAAAGGACTTCCTTCCGGCTGCATGCACAAACTGCACTCTGTAAAAAATGACTACTTATGTAGCATGCATTTTTCTCATTGATTTTCGATGCCCCTAAAAGTCCAATTATATTTCATTTTAGTATACAAGCCGAAAGAAGTTCATTCGAAGGCCGGCAGCCTGAGGTAACTGAAATATTATAGAATTATGTTGCAGGCTGACTAGTTTTACAACCCTACTTAATTATTCTTTTCGAAACGAAAACGCCTTTCGCAACTTCGGTTGACATTTCATGAGTTAGCACACCTACTGTATATGCGGCCCCTTGCCTTAAACCTAACCTTAGTTTCAGTGGAATTTGACCTCAAGTCACTCGTATTGCAGGTTGTTCCTGTTCCCATGTCCTGTTGGACCATACAAGTCAGTCCTACCAGGAACGCAAACGGTATACTTACGGTTGATTGCTTTCTCTTTTAACGCTGCCTCGGCCTTTTGGTGGATGTTTGGCGGGCTTACCAGCTGCGTGCGTAAAGAGTTATCACCCTCCTTATGCTTGTAATCCTGGGGAACCAGGTCACGCATGTGGCGCGCGCAGACGGGCTGTCTAGCTGTCAGCCACTGCGACGCTTCCAGCATCAGACATATGACCGATACGGACAGTGGACTGATGTCTGGGGAGAGAGAGAGTGAGTCTCAGCGCATATTACCACTATAAACTGTCTAACGCGCTTGAATCTATTTAAAAGCCGTGGTCTGGAATGTTTCCAAATGACGATGGAACTCAGACCTTGCAGGCAGCTCAGTGTGTCTAGGTGGAGTGGCGGACTGGTGGACTGAGAGTCAAGCTACAACTGCTCCTTCTTAATGTGGCCTCTATGACACTCCCACCCAGTGGGATCCGGGTCGCTTCCCCCTTCTTGCTGTTATATAAAATCCGAGTCAGTGTACATTTTGGACCAGGGGGTGTGGCGGCGTGCCTAAGTGCGGATTTTCGCTGTGTCAGCCAACTGCGTGATCTCCCACCTCCGGTCTTATTAACTGTGTCATGACATCGGGTCCAGGTGAGGGAGGAGAGAGTACCGTAGATGCTTCCCAAGTTTACTATTACCATAAACGTATTCACGTACAATTCCCCGTCCCTGTCCCCACTCTGTTTTGGAACACATGGTGAACATCGTCGGCAACGACGATCGAACTATCGTGAGGGTTATTCGGTCTGATGGCTCCTTTTTCTCCACTCCTCGGGCTAGTTTGTCATCGGGTTGTCCTGTCCTGGCCTTTGTGCACGCCGTGGCGCAGAGCTTTGTAAACCGCAGGAAGGCCAAGATGTCTGTTGATGTAGGTGGTATCCGAATAGCATGTCTCAAGTGCTAGTCATTGTGTCTTTGATTTGCTGCAACCTAAGATGGTCGCTCCTTGAAGGTTAACAATTGTAACCAGTCTCCCTAACGGGCGTTGTTATCTGAGAGTCTAGCTCTAGCCTTCGAGTTGCACTTTATGGTCGTGTAGGCAGGTCCGCCCTTTTCATCCGGTTTTCCCAACTTAGTTACAGTCCCCATCATTGCAACTTATTCCGTAGAAACTACTGAGGCCGTGGTGAGTAACAGCATGTGCATAGGTTATACCGAACGACGACGAATAAATCCTCGGGTCGATGGGCTACGCCTACTCTAGTGAGCTACAAAAGTCGAGAAACTAGCCCAGTAACTCCGTAGGTGTAGGGAAGAACTATCCAGACTTCGGGTTTCTGCCCTTTGGCCGGTATCTGTTTGCTTGAAATCTAAAGGTACCATGATAGTGGCCCATGCAGCCGCCTTTTTATGCCAATCAAAATAACGAATATGTTTGACCCTTGTTTATCATCCTCTTCCCAGTCACCTTTAATTGAAAGTGCCCATGTTTTAAACCAAACTCAGACAAAGGGAAGTCGGTCCCTTTAGCGAGAACCATCAGTTTTGGAGCACAGATGACTTCGCCTAAGAAGGTACCTTCGTTCTTGAAACGCGGGGAATCAGACAACGAAGCATCTAAAGGCAGAACATGCTGTATTAGTTAGTATAGTCGCATTAATGATTCTCCGACCAAAGGGGACCGTCGAAAATCTCCTGAATACACGGCAATCAACAGAAAACGAGAAACCGCGGTCTGATTGGTCGGTGACGAGTTGGTTTCAAAATAAGTACTCACCCAAGCATCCATGGATTTACTGATTGACTGATAGTGCATTTTCGAGGTTTGTTGAGGGTTGCTGCTGATATTGGCTTCTGGTCTACTAACCGACAGTTCGACCATCGATTTCGATGATGTTCACCATGTGCCCCACAGACTGCATTGTAGAGCTGGGACGGTGACTGACGCAGGGGTTTATAATGCCAGTAGACTTGCGTAGCATCTACCTACACTCTCTACTCCTCCCCCGCCTGAGTCCGGTGTCAAGACCAAGTCAAGAAGACCGGAGACGAGGGAGGCCGCAGGTGGATGGCTCGGACGGATCCTCGCCTTGGCGCTCCACTCCGCACCCCCTGGTCCACACACAAATGACCAGGATTTTGACCACAAAACAATGGGGTGATGGCAGTGGTCCAGTTGTGCGGCGATTGCCGACAACAGGATCTTCCAGCGCACCCCGCTAATGTTGGCATTTGTTATTGCGCACAAATAACACCTGCCAGAGTCTGATGTGGCCCCCGTGTTGGTCCAGCGCATCTAACACTTCTGGTCTACTACCAGTTTAATGTCGACCTCAGTAATCCATAGAAGGCTGGATTAACCACTCCCTGTAAACCAAGAAAATATTATCCATCGCCTGAAGACTTTAACAATTGAGTCCGGAAGATTTGAGATGTGCTTTAACTGTAGAATTTACTAAATGGAAGATGCAGATGCTTAGTTGCAGGAAGTTATGCACTGGTAGCTGTCACCAAATCAGTGTGACCTTACCGGATGACCATAGGTCATAGTTCAACGCTGACAAGTTGGCTCCGCAAATCCGGCTCGCTTGCTAAACACAGACTCAGTGTGCGTGTTGAACTCGGCGTGCAGGCAAATTCAAGCATCAGGCGTTCGTCGCCGCACAATGCTGTGGTTAAAGGCAGAGTAGGCGAGTTGCATGAGCAACTTTAATCTACAGACTGCACCTATCAATTTGCTTTGGTTTGGCCGGGCTCTCCGCGGTAAATGCTTGTTTCCTCTGAATGACATCCCGAAAATCTTGCACGGTAATTCAGTACTTTAAATAGTCGCGCAAATTCACTCGTCTAGTTAATGCTAACAGGCTCATTTTTTTTCTCCAACACAGCGGACCGGAAAAGCAGAACCTCTCCATAGTTAATACAAATTCGAAAAAGAAGTACGACCTAGTCAGAAAAATCAGAGTTGACTCAAACGTTCATGTAACGGGTTAGTATAACCAACGGCGCTTCCCCACACCAAAAGGTACGACGGGAAAGTCAACATCGTTGGTAGAAATTATCGTTAACACAAACACTCGAAATGAATTAATGTAATCGAAAGAGAAAAATATTAAGAAAAATAAGCAAATACAGTGCACACTGTGAAATTAGGTTATAGTGGACTACAATGGGCTCGAATAGTTTCAATTGTGATAGCATACAGTGGGGTGTACTAAGATGGGTAAGAGTATGGATTAAGATAAACTAGGAGATGAAGTGGGTTATTTAGGAGTGATTTGTGCCGCTTTATTCTGCTTGGCGCAGAAGGTAACACAACGAACAGCCTTTGCACGGCGGATGGTGGGGTGACGATATATTTTGTGGAGACCAGGTGATGAAAGAGTCAGGACCAGACTGAGAGATTGTCCGGAGGATCTTTCATAAGAAGATGAGAAATCTGTTGATGAAAATATCTTTTAATCTGGGACTTCACTTGTACGATGTGAAGGGAATAAATCTGAGGATGTCGAAGGCTTGGCAAAAGTGAGCACTCCATCAGTCGGTTGGTTATCTGAAGCAGCTGTACATCAGAGATAGGCTGCAGAAAATGCTAAAACGTACCAACACCTGACTTCATTGGACATTCAGAATGAAATAGGTGCGGAATCCCGATGTTGTCGAGCATGGTATCCGAAAATCAAGAGATCCCCCAATCAGAAGCCAGATGGACAGATGTCGAGGGATCCTTTCGACCGTGGAAGAAAACATACAGGCAGCCCGGAAACCAGCAAGTGGGGTTATGGTCACAGGAGGCGATTACATGACCAGTGGCAGACAGAGCCAATCAGCAGAGGGCATATTATCAACTGTCCCCCACCCAGACGTCACTCCTGCGACCTGAGTCGACAGTGGCGGTGGCGACCCCACGCGCAATCGCCAAAACAACATGAGGGACTAGGATGCCCACAGTTGGAAGGCGGGTGAGTCACCCTAACACAGACATCATCAAGGGCATCCCTCCCACACGCATTTCCGATCGCGGTTCTTCCCTATAAACATCGTCACGGTCACTCCAAGAAGAACGTCACCGTGACACAGGAAACAAATGTTGACAGAATGCCAGCCTGTCACCCTCGTGATCGTATATTTCACCCATGAGTTGATCCGATCGGGACTCTGCACAGCCATTTCAACGGTCTGGCCAATAAAGACCACCCCCGACGAAATCTTGACAGCGATTCGGCCGCGGACTGGCATTCTAGGTAGGCGGTGGTGTGGTAGCCGCGTAATATAAATACTGTGCCCTCTGGACGCTAGATAGCTCTGACACTTGGTGCGAGTATGAATTCGAAAGCTCAGGTAAATAAACCTCTAGTTTCAGTGATATTCGGAAAAACAGTTACGTAAGCAATCTGCGTAGTTTGTTCAGGAATCCTTTGTTTACCATTATCTACATATATAACTACCAACTACAACTAAATAATTCAGGCCGTCGGTGTCCACCATAGCTTTTTGACGGGTTTGTGTCCAACACTGGACCATTCGTGAACTGTCGTTGCAGATCATCTATTTTTGGTGAAACCGTTGACAGGTTAGCTTCTTCTCCATCCACTGTGTGTCGTCTGCATAACATAAGAGGCCCGATTGTTGCAGAAGCGATAATCTCACTGCTCCTTTGCTGTCTGATAGGTGGTCAGGGTTGAGGGCAATTATTCGCAGACTTTCAGTAGACGGTGGTGGAGAGATGAGTAAGCAATGATCGATTTTCTTAAACCGCCTAAAAAGGGATGTCCACACTGTCTGGGCCTGTGTTGTTTAAAAACTTGGTGACTCTGACATTAGAAGGGAAGTTTGTTCGAACGTGCCAACGCAGTCTTCTTTGCCACATTAACTATGTCGTCAGTATACGGTCATCACCGTTGAGGTTTACTAAAGTTACAAAGGGCAGACATTTCATATTCTTAGATGACGGCGTTTACGATCAGAGGAAGCAGTAGTGATCCCAAGAGAGCGATTTTTTCCTTGTTTGTAGGTAGTCACTGTGAAGATGAAAGTTGCCGAGTTCAGCCACAGTATTTAGTGTGCAATGACAACTCTTCTCTCCTTCATTTTATTATCTTCATCCAGTCAATTAATAACGAGACGGCAAGGAAAGTAGACAATCGAGAAGGGAGACTGGAATAACCATTTCCGGCTTATTAGCCGTCATCAGCCAGTCGTACCCAACCACGAATCGTGGAACACCCGGGCTCGATCCCGCGACCTGTTGGTTGGAAGTCCAGCACCCCTAACCATTGAGCCACGGGCGACCGACAGGACAACCAGGCTGCGGCTCAGAGGTTAGGGCGTTGAACTTCTACCCAGCAGGTCGCGAGTTCGAGTCCCGGGTGTTCCACACCTCGGGGTCGGGTATGGCTGGCTGACGACGGTCAATATGCCAGAAATGGTCACTCCAGTCTCACTTGTCTTTTTCAGTAATGTCATTCTGTTTACGTTTACATTGGTCTCTAAGTCACGTGAGGCCCATCTTCACAGGTCTGGCTTCGCTGTAAGACGAAGTATGCGTACCAGCATGGGCTCAGTCTGTAGCCCTCAACAGGCGACAGCGTGATAAAGTGCAGTCTATCAATGAATTGTTAATGTCTGGCTTTTTGTTGTCATCAACCAGCCAGACATCAGTCCCACATTGAGACAACCTGAAATTCTAGCCGGAGATCAGTTTCTCCTTGAATGGAACGTCTTGCTATTTACTTTGGTGGATGCGCTTATTTTTTTCTCTAGTTTTTACCAGAGTAAAGCAGTTCTCCGTGATATCCCTTTTCAAATTTGTACTATGCCGTCGACAAAATTAATATACTTCAATCATTTCGATGAAAGTCGAGAGTTCTCTATGGAGTTGGAGTGTTGTCTGCTACGACTTCGAGAGACCGTCATTCTTACAAAGTTAAGAACGCATAATGGGTATATTCCTATCGCAGATAAAACTTTTGAATAATATTGCTGTAGGCCACACATTTATTTTATTCTGAGTGCCTCTCAGTTCATCAAATTGTTTCTGCGGCTTCCTACAACACATACTTTTCCTTTACTTACTGATGATTAGAATAACTGAAAAAAGACCAGAAGACTACTTCTGATTTGGGTCTGATTAGTCATGCAGGTACCCTTCTGGAAGGTTTTGAATATAAGGTTTCCAGTTGATGCAATTTGTTTGCACCATAAGCCTTCAGTTGTACGTTGTTTCGTAATCTGTGCAGTCGTATCCTGCTTACCTGAGTACGAGAGGCAGGATATGCAATTCAGCTGGCATAAAAGGGCGTGATAAGATTGCCGGATCGTTTATTCGAGACCAACTTCGCCAAACCAAGCCCATTGTCTATTTTCTACCAATTGGCATTGAACACCTTTGAATACACGTGTCGAAGAGCTGTGCCACGTGATTTCTGTTAAGACCCTGTGTCACTTGTCGTGCATTGGTTGGCGTTGAGGCGCTGACCCGTGTGTTGTTTATGCTACTCGTGCAAATATCTGATTGGTCGTTGCACCGCGCAGTAATAAGTGTGTGCTAGCGCAGTTGTGGAAACCAAAAACAACACTTTTCCATGCGACACATTTGGTTTTTCGTTATTCGTAGTGAACCTGAAAATAAATTTCGACTTAAATTAGCGAACCTAGATAGGCGAATGATCATCAGAATAATCTTTAGCAACAAAAATAAGAATTTGTCTGTCCAACACGTCTCCAACAATTGATTAAACTACCAATCCTTCCAGAAATGAACGCATATTTCTTTGGATTTTATGCGTTATTTAAAGGTGTCTTCTGAGACTGCCTAGCTGCTATTTATTTAACGTAGTCTCCTAATTCGTTTAGAATCGGAAGTACCCCTGTCAACATATAACAAGGATCATTTTAACGAGGAATTACATCAAACCGTCCAGTAAACGTAGCTAGTTGTTCCTTACGTCACGCTCCTGCGGTAATTCTGGATGTGGTGATGGAGTAGTTTGGTTGTACATGCCTTCGGTGGATAGTGACGCTTGAGGGCCGGTAAGGTCACTAGATGTTTTTAGATGCGGTTCGAGTTTGCCAGGTGTCTAGGAAACTTAACGTGGTCAGAGCGTCGACTATTGCGTCAGTAAACCATTTAACTCCCCTGCACTCTGCAGTTTGCCTAGGCAGTAAACTAGTTTGTCCCCCTAATAGCATTGCGGGCCAGAAGCCATAGCGTCATTTTTGATGGTCTCCACTCACTGGACCCGAAACGAAATTATCCGCCAAAAACTACTCACCGCCTCTTTAAGGAGGAAAACAAGTCGGCAATTCCACCTCTAGCGGCATACTTGTCCGATCATTTCCTATCACAAACCCGTATTCTTCCATCCATGTTTCGGCTACGAGGGAGTAATGTTGGATTGAGTACCAGCTGGCGAGTGCTGCAACTTCTTCTCCCTCTACAGCGGGCCTCTACAGAGGGATCGTGCTGTACCAACAGGGGTGCCAGCTCATAGGACTGTGCGCCCATAACACACGCCAAACGATGAGGAGGGCGCGTATGATGTACGCCTTGTTGCAGGTTTACGCCGCGCCGGCCACATGCAGCGACTTTACCTCCGGTCTTCTTGATTCTGTCTTGGCACTAGGCCCAGGAGGGGGGGGGGGGAAAGAGAGCATACTGTAGATGCAGCGTAAGTCTACTATCAGCATAAACTAACTCACGCGCAGGTTACAGTCCCTGCGCCAACCTTACCGTGGTGAACATCGTCGGTAACGACGGTCGGACTGTTCATTGGGGTCAGCAACTCAGGGAACAGGGCGTTAAGTCGATTGAAAACAGACCGAAATGACTGACAATAGTGGGTTAAAAAGGAGATCCGAAAAAAGCGCAAGCTGTGGAAAGTCTTCTTACAAACGGGGAGCCCAGAAAAACTTCAAAAATTAGACAACTATGCAACTTATGCAAAAGACTCCTCCGTGAAGTACGTGCTTCTTATGAAATGAAGCCTCTAGAAGAGGCACAGGAAAAACCTAGGACATTCCATGCATACATCAGGAGCAATAGGAAAAACTGTGACCATCTCGCAAACCAAAAGAACAAAAATAACTAATTTGTGTGCGATGGCTTTTAAAAAGCGGAGCTTCGTACATAATGGCTTTAAAGTTTCTGTACCATTGAACCACCCCTCCAGTCTTGTTCTCTGCCACAGCTTGTCAACCAGCCACTTATAAACACGGTATTATTTAGGACGCAGCTAGTTTTGGTAGAGTTCAATGATCTGGATATGGCCAAGTAACCTGAACCGGACGAGATTCCAGGCGTTCTTCTACGCCAACTAACTGAAGAATTAACAGAACCACTCTGCATAATCTTCCAAAAATCACTCGAAGTTGGTAAACTTCCTGATACATGGGAATTGGCAAACGTCGTACCCCTCCGCAAGGGAGGACCACGGCTATATCCCACTAACTACCGGCCGGTAAGTCTGCCATGCATTCGCTGCAAGCTGAGGGAAAGGATAGCTAAAATCAATTACATCGCTCGATTCATTCCGCGGTCTCATCAGCTCAGTTTAACATGGCTCCTCTGAATAGGGGTCTTGTCTCACAAACCTGCCTACGCCACTCAAACGTTGGCCAAAGACCATGGATAAAGGACATGCAGTAGGTGTCAATTTACTTTGAATTCAGCGAGGCGTTTGATTGCGTTCCACAGAAGCGCCTCGTTCAAAAGTTGTTAGATGTAGGGATAAAAGGAAATTTTCTGAACTGGATTAAAGATTTCTTAAACGGTCGGGGACAAAAAATCACTGCGGATGGCTACTGCTCAGAATGGGTGCCTGTTAAAAGTGGAGTCTCACATGCGTCAGTCCTTGGCCCGCTCCTATTCATTATCTATGTAAATGATCTAGTACGGGAAATGAAATCGGACATAGCGTTCTTTGCAGACGATCTTAAACCGTGGAGGGTGGTAACAGAGGAAAACGACGCCAAGATCTCACAAGAAGACGCAGAGAATTCGCACACATGGAGTAAGAAATAGCGCATGAAATGCAACGTTAAAAAGTGTGTGGTAGTGCACATAGCATCAGCAAGACGAAGAATAAACACACCGTCGCAGTAGTATCTCCTGGACATTCAACCACTTGAAACTGTATGTGGACAAATAGATCTTGGCATTTTCGTTAAAGGCGACTTGAGCGTCACCAAGAAGTGTTCTAAATCGTAGCACGGCAATGTCAGTCATAAGCGCAATACGGAGAACTTTTATTAACTTGAATGCAAATGTGCTTGGCAAGGTATATGGGCATTTGTGCGGCCGCACCTGGAAGATGCCGTACAGGCTTGGCGGCCGTATCGTCGGAAGGATATAGATATTCCTAAGGGTGTACAGCGGCGTGCTACAAAGGCTGCTCATGAACGCAAAAAGTTTTCAACGAGCAGCGCCTGACGGCCTTGGATCTGAATCCCTTCCACTACAAGCAGGACAGGGGTGACCTCAAAACAACATGTCAGTTGATAAGAGCACTCGATCTGGCACCAAAGGCTGGTCTCGGACGACACGATTACCAGCTTGAAAGGGAACAGTGCCACACAGATCAACGTTCATGCTTTTAATCGCAGAGAGTCCTTCGCCAATGGGGTTCTTTGCCGACGTAAGTTGTTAATTTTTCTACAGTGAGTGTGCACGAGAGACATCTGGATAATCACCTGGTAAAAGACAGTCCGAACTCCCCAAGCTGCATCTAGATGGTTACTGAAACTACCATCAACATACTACTAACATAAATTAAACAGGTCCCTTTGTGTAAATTTACTTTTACTCAGATGAAATTTTTACAGTGCGAATGCTGTGAATGATTTTTTCGCCGTTATTATGCAAATTCCCCACCTATTTCGCAGTTATTTTCCACTATTTGATTTATGCATAATTCTCACTAAAGCTACATGCAAATTTTTTTCAATTTAGCTATTTCCATTCACACCCGTACGGTTTAAATGTAGTTTTAAGAGCTTCTGTCATTTAAAACAAATAAACTGACTGGTAAAATATAATGACTGACCATCGCTTCCACAGAAACAAGGCTTTTTGAGGCTATTGGAGGACCTGAAGTATCCCTAAGAGCTTACTAACTGTTTCGAAATGACAGAAAAAGCTGAGGAGCAATAAAAAAATCGTGACCATCTCGCAACCTCGAAGGACAAAAATTACCAAATTGTATGCGATGGCTTTCAAAAAATCGAGTTTTTTTCGGAAATTTTCCCGTGTTTGTACAACGAAACCAGGGCCCCCAAACGGGCTATGTGGTAGATACCCTGGATCAACACAGGGGCCATATCGGATTCTGGCTGGCGTTATCGGAATGCGTACCGTAACTAATGACAATATTTCAGGGTGCGATGGCAGACGCAGTTTCCGGCATTGGCCGCGAACACTGGGACCCTTGCAACCCTCCCAATTGTTGCTGTTGATTAAAATCCTGGTCATTTGCTGTGTGGACCAGGGGGTGTGGATTGGAGCTTCAAGGTGCGGGACTGACTGTGCCGTTCATCTACGTCCTCCCTCGTCTCCGGTCTTTTTGAATCTGTCTCGACAACGGGTCCACGTGGGGAGAGGAAAAGAGAGTGAGGTAGATGCTTCACAAGTCCACAGTCGCTGCAAACTAATTCACGCGCATGTCACCGTCCCTGCCTCATCTGGCTTTGGAGCACACGGTGGCCATTGTTGACAACGACGGTCGAACTATTATCACTGCGGAACCACCCCTCCAGTCCTGTTCTCTGCCACAGTTCGTCAGCAGCACACTTACAATCACAGTATTATTTACACCGCAGCTAATTTGGTCAGAGTCAAATAAGTTGGATCCAGCCAAATTACCTGGGTCAGATGAAACCCCAAGTGTACTCCTACTTCAACTAGCAGAAGAATTAGCAGAATCACTATGTAAAATTTTCGAAAAATTGCTCGAAGTCGGTAAACTTACTGATACATGGGAGTTGTCAAAAGTCGTACCCATCCACAAGGAATGAACACGGCCATATCTCACTGACTACCGGCTGGTCAGCCTAAAATGCATTTGCTATAAGCTGATGGAAAGAGTAACTAAAAAATCAGTCACATCGCTCGATACATGTCGATGTCACATCAGTTCATTTCAACATGGTTCCTGTGAAAAGAGGTCTTGCCCCACAAACCGGCTTACGTCGGTCGAGCATTGGTCAAAGGCCATGGATGAAGGGCGTCCAGCAGATGTTATTTAATTTGACATCAGTGAGGCGATCGATTGTGTTCAACAGAAGCGCCTTTTTCAAAAGTTGTCAGACGTAGGGATAAGATGAAATTTCCTGAACTGGATTCAAAATTTCTTAAACGGACGCAGAAAACAGTTGCTGCGTTAGGCTACTGCTCAGATTGGGCGCCCTTTAAAAGTGGAGTCCCGCAGTGGTCAGTTCTTAGGCCGTTCCTATTCGCCATCTATGTAGATGCTCTGGTACGGGAAGTGAAATCGGACATAGCGCTCTTTGCAAATGATCTCAGATTATCAAGGAGGATAAGAGATAAAAAGACGCCCAGATATTACAAGAAGACGTAAAGAATCTTTACGCATGGAGCGAGAGCTGACGCATGAAATTCGCCATCGAAAATATGTGGTTATGCTCATAGTATTCTCAAGACGAAAAATAAATTAACTCTAGACAATCAACCACTTGAAACCGTAGACGTGCAAAAAGACCCTGGCGTATTCATCAAAGACGACTTGAGCGTCACCACGCGGTTTTCTAAAGTCGCAGCGCGAGCAATGTCAGTTACGAGCGCGACACGAAGAACGTTTATTAACTTCAATGTAGATGTCTTCGGTGTGGTATAGGGAGCATTTGTGCGGCCGCACCTGGAATATGCGGTACAGGCTTGGCGGCCGTGTCTTCGGAAGGATGTAGACGTTCTCGAAGGTGTACAGCGACGTGCTACAAAGTCTGTTCATGAACTCAAAAAGTTTACGCATGAGTAGCGCCTGACTGTCTCGCATGTCTGTTTCCCCTACTACAGACGGGACAGAGGCGACCTTCTAGCAGCGTTTCAGTTGGTAAGAGGACCTGATCTAAATGTGAACTGGGGAACTCTTTTTGAAATAGCATCAAGGACTAATCACAGATGGCACTATTGCCTTCTTAAAAATGGAACTGTGCCACACTAGTCAACGCTCTTTCTTTTTCTCACCAATAGGATACTTTACCTACGTATGTTGTAAATTCCCCCTACCGTGGGTGTGTTTAAGAGACAACTGGAGAGTCACCAGTTAAAAGGCAAACCGGACTCCCCAAACCCCATCTAGTGGATTACTGAAATAACTATTAACACACTACTAACGGGATTTCAACAGATCCTCTTGTGTACATTAACCTTGACCCAGATGAAAATTCCATAGTTCGAATGCAGTGGGCGTGCTCTTCGACGTTATTTCGCAGACACCACATCTTTTTAACATTTATGCCTCACTGTCAGTTTTATACATTCTGCATACTAAAGCTACATGTCATTAACCCTACATATACTACTTATACTGACTGAACTTTAGCAAACTATACAAGGGAACAGGAAAATCAAATATAGCATGTGACAGTCGGCAATCTGACACCGCAAACAAGCAAGCTGTGCGTCAATCTCAGAAGACCTCGTCGCAAATATGAGGGAATTAACCATGACAGGAACAAATCATATGACATGAGTAGTGCAACAGAATCGAGGAGTATCTAAGGGCATCCGTCCTGACAGGAATTCACCTGGACCAAATGTAGTTCAGAACCTTCGAAACCTTCACAATTTTGTCTATTAAACTTGACAGCAGTTTTGAGGCAGAGTTCATTGTAATAGTGTTCAGCAGAAGTTGGGGTACGGTGGCCCCTGGCGGTCTCGGTGCGAAAATCTCGAAAGAAGAGGGGGATCCGATTGCGCTTGTCGCACCAGTTCTGTGTTTCTGCAGAATGTGACTGTCTGCTAACATAATAAAAATAGTAAAAACTTCTGTAAAGAAATGACCTGAAGTCTCTACAAGGACAAACTCACGTTTTACTCAGGGTTTGTTTTTTGCCAAAACAGTCAGCAATCACAGAAGGAGTTGACGTGGTACCAGTTACGTTCCGCTAACAGATTTCCATAATTTCGCTCTTCATAGCCCTTTGATTCTATTGAGCTAGATTTTCCGCAACTCCGGCCTAATCAATATGATCATTAATAAATGGAATTAACTACCGAGAATTTTCGAATGACATTCATTTGTGGTGGTCGAACGTTGAAATATAACATAACATGCCAGTCTATTTACTAGCTAAGACGTCCCAATAACTTGGTTGATCACGAGGAAGTTCCGCGTTTCTTTGCCGCTGGGGACATGTACTCAGACGTGCGTTGGACAGACGGCAGGTTTACGGTATCGCCGTTGAACGCAACTGTGTGTAATGGACGGTTGTCCAGGTTTGAGAGGAGTGTCCAGAAAGGAGTATTTTGGTATGCACCGATACCATTACCTTAGCAGCAAAACGAAATTATTTTGAAAAAGGTCTTCTGATTTTCCTTGCTGGTTCTAGTAGCTTAACTTCGAAGTCACCAAAAATACACTTTCGTGAATGGGTATGGAATCAGTTTTAGAAAGACTCAGAGTCTCATAGACTTTTTGATGGTCTTCCAGTTCTGAAGGCTTTCTTTTTACCGTAACTGCTCAGTTCATTACTTAGTACGTAAGAATATTTTAGCAAAAACGATTTCCATCGAGAAGCGGCTGCGTGGAATGCGACATAGTCTTTCATGCATCTCAAATACTTGTTTAGATTTCGAGATGGAAGATCCTACCGGTCGGAAGCATATTTCTAAATGGGATGTGACTGATCGGACACTTTCACCCATGCCAAGAAACACAGTCAGTCGAGTGTTTTTGTGTATTCTGCTGGCATTAAAAAAATAAAAAGGATCTGTGCACAGTCTGGCCTTGTAAAGACGTCTGAACCGAATCCTTTGAACCAGTGTTAGAAATTTAAATATCGAAAATAGTACTATAAAGCCCCGTACGGATCCTACGCACTCGAAAGTTAGTCAACAGTGCCGTGTATTTCAAAAAATACCAGTTTACGCACGTGGTAAGTATCTTTCCCCTATGCGAATCAGTGATCAAATCACTAAGTTGAGCTGATTGCCCTTATTACTTGGTGGTTGTATTGAGTAAGTGTGTTGCCAACTCTGTCTGAAACAATGTGTAAAATAGTGGTATTTTGTGGGAAATGACAAAGCAGATAGCTGTGCATTAGTTTGCTCTGTACAAACTTTTAAACGTGCAGCCCAGTGGCTAAAAGGGTAAATTTTGGTTTAGAACATGACAAAAGCGCGAGGTTTGCGCAGAGTTCAACACAGTCCTGCCAAAACATTGCCAATCCTTGTGTTAGGGCAATCTTTCTTCCCAACGCCCTGTTAACGTCCTGTTTTCTGCGGTTAATTGCTGGATCGCAGACCGGAAAGATCAGAGCCCTTCAGCATTCATTGTCTAAATGTTTGAACTTGCACATATGCTGACCTGATCGGAGTAAAGTTCGAAATTTAATGGAAGTCTTTGAAGTCAGTAAAAATGCGGAAGAGGAAGAGATTACTTGTTACTTCGTGGAAATGACTCTGTCATGCTAGGCTGCTCCGTCCCTCCATCTGTTAACCAAGAAAGGAATATGGTATTTTGAGGATTTTAGCGGATTTTAAACGATGGTCATCAGAAACGATGAAAAGAATGATATTCAGTGGGTCGACTTGTTTGAGCGATCACATTTTGCTAGTCTCCACATCAATATGTCATTTTGTAAGTGTGAAGACTTTCCCGAAATGATGCTTTATGGTGAATAGATTGTTGCTCCAGCTCGCTTTTCTGTCAACCATGAGGAAATGTAGGCCTTTACAGGAGTAATTAAAACACTTCGAAGATCATACATCATTAAAAGGCCCTTTCTATAGACAAAGTTGTTTAAGCCTTCGACACAAGAGCATTAACGAAGGTTATTTCCTGCACACATCCATCTTCTAAAAATGCCGGACGAGCTTACTTGGCAAACTACGTGCTAGCAGTAATACAATTGGTCAAGTGCATGAAGACATATTATTTCAAACACAACTAGTTTCTACAGTCCTATCCTGGTATCACACTACGGTGAGAAACCTCACTGTCCCCACGTCGCTATTACTCGTGAAAATTGTCTTAAGTGGCATGGCCTTTGCATTAAATGTTATGACCCGGAATAAAGGTAGGACAGTAAGAGCTGGTTCGGAGGACAAGCACTTTATTGGTAACTTGTGGAAACGAGGGGTTACAACTCGTAAGATGCGCTATTTATATTGGCTCCTGTGCGTTCAAGAGCATTCCGCCTAATTAGGTGCTAGCGGCTGAGGGCGTTCTAGAATGTTCCTGTCCCGGGCGTGCTAGTCGCTGATTGGCCACCGCGTGCGCGATAGTCCCCCCCCGGCGGAAACGTCTGGAATGTTCGACCAGCCATTGATTGGGCCGCACACATGAGCAAAGCCACCACGCGTACTCGGCGCTGCAGTGCACGCCGGTCGGCCGTCTTACTTCACGCGTGTCTCACGCCGCCGGCTTGGTCTCCTGTTCAGCGCCTTAGGCCGTGGCTCTGCGTCGCTCGCACTTTCCGTAACATTAGGTATGCCTCAAAATGGATGAGATCAACCACTAACTCTCGAGGTGGGTCCCGTGGTCACTTGCACGTGATGTTCTTTGCAGTAGAGGAGATTTTCGACGCATCTGCTTAGATAGATAGATTATTTTTATTAAAGACCCGTCGGGGTCCCATCAAAGCAAGTTAAAATAAATTTGCATGCGAGTTTTAGACGAGGTAGGCCGATTCTTTACAAAATGCAATTCATAGTTTCTGAATTAGAAGTCCACTGAGAAACATGATGATTGAGGGGTGAAAAAAAACTCCTTACAAAAAGTTAAAAATGATTGGATTAATTTTACAGGAGAAAAAAAACCCCTCCATAAAAATAATAACAGAAAAAAGCGAGCAGGACTGGCCTGTAGGTGGCGGTATATAACGGAATGTTGTCGTTCATCGTCAGGGTAGCAATAAATGTCAGCCTTGATGGGTACGATTGTGGGTCAGACAGGACTGGCTTGCGAATGGCATTGTATACGGGATTCACAATTGAGATCGTCTGGGCCGGATTGGTACGCCGCGTCAAAGAGGCCAAACGAGAGGAACCGAGATGCGATCGGCCACAGCACGCTTCGAGCTCAGCCGAGCAGTGAGGAAGGGAAGTACGACCAAACTTATAGTAGACAGTAAATACTGAGGGTTCCGCCGTGAGCGTCGACAGACCGCATGAGGTCGGAATGCGGGAGATGACATCCAAAACCGCGAAAATTGTCGCTAGGGGGGGAAGGATAGCTTAACTGCCTTTTCCCACACAAACCACGCCCCGGTGGCAAGATAAAGTAAAGACTACCGGAGGCGTGTGTGGGCGCAGTGGCTGACAGAGCCAAGGGGTTGGTCTACGCGCGCCACACACAAACTGGTCTTCAAATCTATGAAAGGGCATTTAGGCCCCGTTCGGAAGGATCGCGCTTAGAAGGGTAATTAGAACCTGACCCCCAGTTCTAAGTAAGACCAAGTTATCCAATCAGTGCCACACACAAAATGGTCTTTAAGTCCACAAATTTCCTCCACGAAAGGGCAGCTGGGTCCCGTTCGTAAGGATCGCGTTAAGAAGGGCCATTAGAGCCTGACCCTCGGTTCTAAGTAAGGCCAAGAAATCCTTCAAGCTGAGATTGATAGTGCGTCCGGATAGTTTGAAAACGTGTTTGCTAGTTTATAAAAAAACAAAAAAAAACAACTTGATTGCGGCGTCCTAGTTGAACCTACCGCATTCTCCCTTCGTATGCCTCGAAAAGACCCGTGCGAAGGCCCAATTTCTCTGGTCATGTTGGGCATTGAAAGCGTGTTTGGCGGTTATTGGCCAAGGTTTCGGGTGCTTGCGCTTCAGTCGCGCTGCAAGAGACTTAGAGTTGACAGATTGGGTTAGAGTCAACGGCCACTGCATTTCATCTGACACAACAGCTGAACTCTTGGTGTCTTTTGGGGGTTAGATCTGATCTTGCAGCCGTCCCTGAAATGGCTAAACCTCGACGGCCTGTAATACGGGGACGGCGTTAAAGGGAATTTTACGGGTGGGGCAATCGGCTACGTTTGTGAGATGGTTGCGAAGTTGCCATGGAAAAATGAGTTAATGAAGTGTGCAATAAAGCTTTGAATGAGCTTAAGTTGAAGCGCCAATGATGAAAATACGGTAGGTATCCAACCAGCCAATCTAAAGTGACGATGCGTGGTCACCGTCATTCGGCATAGTGTGCAGCGGCACCTGGTGAAGATTATACTGCTGAACTGCTGACTTGTTTTAAGTAGGCGAGATTATGCTGACGTAGCACAACTGCACATTGTTGGAAAAGAAATGGGCAGCGTTGTGCTCGGGTTTAGAGGTATGGTTAGTCTTAGGATTTGGGTTGGTGTGAGGGTTAGACTTAAGGCTAGGGCATGGATTAGGGTTGCCCTTACTCTACCCCAAACCGTAACCGCAGACCTAACACTAAACCTAACCCCTAACCCTAACCCATAGCCCTAACCACCAACCCTAACCCCCAATCCCTGACCCTAACCCCTAACCCTATTCTCACCCCTAACCGTAACCCCTGACTCCAACCCCCAACTTCTAACCGAGATAACTCGAAGGTTAGAAGGAAATGACAAACACGAATTTGAACTGACCACGCCTACTCAAAGTCAATAAGTAGCTCAACAGTATAATGTTCTGTGTATATGGCTGCACAATCACATCTTACCCGTCTGGGCTCCAATCTCTGAGGCATAACCTTTTGTGTGCGCCTTCATTGCTGCTAGTCGAATGGAAGGCCTCTGGACGCTTCTTCGTTACGCTGACCTCCATATGCATAGCGGAAATGTTGCGTTTCATGTACTAGACCCATCCAGAGGGAAATATTTTTCCCTCGCGTCTCTTACATTTACGCGCAAGGGGTATTTTTCTGATAGGCTGGACACGGCTTCTTGTGCACTTCTTTGTGCATTACGTCTAAGTCCGAGGGGTGTCCTCTTCCTGAGAGCAAATGAGTTTAACCAGCTCCTTCCAATGCGACAGCAAAAGGCTTTTGACATTGTGGCTCGATCTCCTGCTGAAGTAAATTAAGGTGCGACAGAGAGTTGAAGAGCAATTGTCCATTCTGAGTAAAAGAACTTTATGGTAGCCTAAACTGCGTGCCCAAGAGGAATAAGTGTCGATCAGAACGGCCGTACGTGCCACCACATATGAGTACAGCTATAGCATTTAAGGGATATCTTAAACATGTGAATTCACAGTTGTAAAGTGAAAACCTCACGCGCAAGCAGCCTTTCATTACAAATATTCACGAAAGTACAGTAAATTTGTTAACTGATGAAATACGCCGAAATTTTGCGAAACATTGCTCGCTACTCGCAAACCGACATAGGCGAGTGAACCAAGGCTCCCAATTAATAACGTGGAACTTTAAGCAAATTGAAAGCATAAAGGAAATAATATAAGTCATATAACGTTGTTTAAAAGTAACATTTTTAGAAAGGCAGAAATGACGAAAACATGCAATTCATAAGCAGCTCACCGTGAGTGCAACAGGTCAGGCGCGGGTGGCCGTTTCACGGTCGTTGCCAATCATCAGCTCGTCATAGGCCTTATGAACTGAGGCATATAAACATCTCGAGCAAGCGCGTGACAGATCAGTGGACTATTGGCAACCATCGGGTGAAGGTCCCCAAACACACACACGACCAGCCAAAGTTGCCAGCCTCACGGGAAAAGTCGTAATAGGGGGTTTTACGGGCGGGGGACATATGTATGCATCATAGTTTGAACTTATCTGTCACGCGCTTACTCGACATGTTCATATACCACACTTCGTAAGGTCTGTGACGTACTGACGATCGACAAGGACCGTGAAACAGCCACCTGCGTCTAACCCTTTGCGCTCTTAGTGACCTGCTTATGTGGTGTGTGTCCTATGGCACAACACTCGCTATCGCTAGTAGCAAGCTGGCGCGCGGACAGAATGGAATAAGGATCCTAACCGCAACAGTGGCGATCACGCGCTTATTGGACATGTTTAGGAATTAATGTTGTGTTAATTTTGGCGGTTAGCCGACAGCCTGCAATTTTTTCGTAGAGTTCAAAACCGTTTCAAGGGGACTGACTTTATTTTTTCCAGCTGTACATTGCTTGAGATAAGGTTGACTAAGGCAAATAGGAATTCGTTTGATCTTGCCCATAGGGACCTCACCTGAACAAAAGTTTCCACAAAGTAACATGTTGATAGGTTGGTAAATGACTAATAACTTTGGATAGAACTAGCAGATGTAGTCGTAAACATACTGAGAGAATTTCCTACATGTCAAAGTCCTTCAAAGCTTTGTCTTGTGCTGGGGTTCGTCGAGTTTCAGAATGCCCTTGAAATGTCGGAGGATAAATCACAATTTACAGTGTTTTCAATCGATTGCCCACGAAGGGAAATTTAGTGCCTTGAGTTTAAAAACCTTTAAAAAAGATATTTCTTGAGAGCAGTTATCGAAGGAGTGAGTGCCTGGACATCCTCTCTCAATGCAGATGGTTGTTTGAGTCATGCTTGTTGACCTTCCCAAACATAAAGCATCATCGTCAAGAAAAACAAAAGTACACAATGAACGCAATGACATGTCTGGTCGGTTGAATTTACGTCATCACTTCTCATGAGTTAGGTCACGTACTGAGCAAACATTTTACCTTTGGGCATAGACCGTGTTGGCTTTCTCCCAAATAAACATTTACAGGCGTCCGGGCCCTAAAAAATTACATCACGTTGTATAGCATCCCATATTTAGCCCTCCCCCCTACGCAACTTCTTTTCCTTGACAGAACTTGAAACTGTTTTTCCCGGAGTTCAGGATAGATAGATAATTTTTTATTAAAGACCCGTCGGGGTCCCATCAAAGCAAGTTAAAATAAATCTACATGCGAGTTTTAGACGAGATAGGCCGAATTTTTACAAAATGCAATTCATAGTTTCTGAATTATTAGTCCATTGAGAAACATGATGATTGAGGGGTGAAAAAAACTCCTTAAATAAAGCTAAAAATGATTGGATTAATTTTACAGAAGAAAAAAAACCCTCAATAAAAATAATGACAGAAAAAAGCGAGCAGGACTGGCCTGTAGGTGGTGGTATATAACGGAATGTTGTCGGTCATCGACAGGGTAGCAATAAATCTCAGCCTTGAGGGGTACGAATGTGGGTCAGATAGGACTGGCTTGCATATGGAATTGTATACGGGATTCACAATTGGGATATGGACTTTGCGGGCTAATGTCTCTCTTCAACTTTCGAACGTCCTCTTAAGAGAAGGTTGGTGGATGGCAAAGGTGAGATAGATGTTAATGCCCATGTACGGTTCAGTTGAGGATCTGAACAGGGTTTTCCTTTTTTCTGTGACACTTCAGTGTTGAGATATCATGGACAGTCGCGGAGTGCCAGAGGGAGTCAGTGCCAATAATAACAAGGGAGACTGAAATAAAGTCTTCGAACTTAGTTGCCATTTCACCTCTGAAAGATCAGGGGTTGGACAAGTTGTATTTGGTCTTTTGGTTATGTCCTGTACGAGTTGAGCCGAGGACGAGAAGCTGGACGTACACGAAATCCCAAACACTGAGTGGTTTAAGAATTTAGAAGTGTGAAGCTGCATGCTGACAAAAGTCGCTGTTCATGTTACAAAATATGACGTGATCAAAAATGGGCGGAATCAGAGTGCAAAATATATCTCTTCGAAACGTATCTGAACAGCACGTAAACAAGATATCCCATCATAAGGACGCAGATAAAATGATAACCAAAAGGACTTATGACAGTTTAAATGACATCACCGTCAAACAACTGATCTACTGACAGGCAGCGTCGGGGAACATTTCGGCTCATGGTAGCAAACCACCATTGGTTGGGATTTGCGATGAATTCAAGTTCAAAGAGTCATTCAGTTTGGGAACTATCTTCCAAAAACAGCACGATTCCCTCAAATTAATCAAGAGGTAACTGAAAGACAAAAGTGCTGGAAAGTGGTCAGCAGACCATAAAAGCCATTCAACTTATACTCTGCGACAAAAACGACTGACTGTCAAAGGTAACTCTTCAAGGTCATACTCTTCAGTCGGTGTTGATTGATCCCGAGTTTCTGTTCAGTAAATGAACACTATTTTCGCACATGGTCAATTCTCTTGCAGGGTGACAAGGGCATTCAGCAATAGAAATAATTATTTGTAAACTTGGGCGCACATATTTCATGTCGGTATGTTAGTGGGCTACTAGGGTGAAACTGACGCCTGTGCCGAAGGCAGACAAGCTCGTCGTCCGCGGTGACTTCAACGCCCGCGACGACACAGAACATGCCGCCTGGAGGGGAGTGCTGAGTCAACGCGGAATCGCCGGCTGCGACGACAATGGTATCCTTTTCCTGCGAACCTGCAGTGAACATCGCCTCCTCCTGACCAGCACATTTTTCCGTCTGCCGGTGCGGAAGAAGGCCGATCGCGGCGCTGGCAGCTGCTGGATTATGTTCTCGTTCGGCGGCGGCGAGATCGATGGGACGTAATGGTTACCAAGGCCATTTGCGACGCCGGTGGCTGGACAGACCGCCGCCTCGTCATCTCCAAGATGAAGCTCCGTCTGCAACTCCGCAGAAGGCCACAGAGTAAGCGGACCCCAGTTAAGCTGAATACTGCTTTGTTGTCTTTGCATGCTCACCGTTTGCATTTCAGCAATCAAGTGACCCAGCGGTTGGAAGAACTGCCAGCGGCAGATGAAAACGCTTCCGTGGAGATTCGATTGTGTCGACTAGGGGACGCCGTTCACTCGACTGCGCACATCGTCAGCACCAGGACTGGCTTGATGACGATGACACAGCCATCAGCAATTTATCGGCCGAGAAGAACAGGCTGCGAAAGCCCGCCTCAATCGCTCAACCGATGCACACAAAACGGCTTTCTGCAAATGTCGCCGTCTAGCGCAGCAACGGTTGCGAGAAATGCAGGATATCTTAATGGATCGCAAGGCCGATGAGATCCGGGCATACGCCGACTGCTACGACTCAAAGAATTTCTTCGTAACAAACAGGGCGAGTTACGGCCAGAGGAACTGCACCGCTTCTCAGCTCTGATAGATCAACACTTTTGATGGAGAAATGTCAGATTATGAAGCGCTGTGCCGAGTACTTTAGAAAGGTCCTCAACTGCCCCTCCACAGTCTCCGACGCCGCCATCGACCGGCTCCTCCTCGTGGTAAGCAACGTCGACCTGGATCTCCCATCCTCCCTTCCAGAAACCATTTGCACCGTGCAACAACTATCCAGTGGGAAAGCATCAGGATCCGGCGCAACCCCAGCTGAAATCTACAAGCACGGTGGCCATCGACACTATCTCAGGAGACGATATACTGTGGAAAAATTTCTCAGGACTTCAAGTACGCAACCATTGTTCATCTCAAAGCGCAAAAGCAACCGACAAGTGTGCGACAATCACAGGGGCATCTCATCACTCAACATCTCTGAGAAGATCTGCGTCCGAATCTGCCTCAATCGCCTCAATCGAAACCTCGAGCAAGGACTTCTGCCGGAAAGCCGATATAGTTTCCGACGACACCGTTCATCACTGACGTAGTGCTCGCCGATCGCCAACTGCAAGAGAAGTGCCTGGAGATATAACCCCTCCGCGCATCACTTTCGTGGACTAGACAGAGGCTTTGATACGGTGGATCAGGAAGGAACATGGAAAACTACGCAGAAATTCGGCTGTCCTGAACGACTCACGTACGTAGTACGTCAGCTCTACGATGGGATGATGGCGCCCGTCACGAACAACAGCGCAATCTCCGAGGTATTACTAGTGGTCAACGGAGTGGAACAGGTCTGCGTACCCTCTCCCACCCTCTTCAGTTTCATGTCGTCTGACATACTGTTGGAGGCCTATCGTGCTGTGCTCTCCGGGATGCGCATCGCCTACAGAACTGACGGCATCTTCTCAACAGCAGGCGAATTCAGGCCCACGCACGGCTATCTGCGACCGCGGTCCATGACCTACTCTTAGCCGACGACTGCGCGCTCAACACCGCGACCGAAGTAGACATGCAACGGAGCATGGACGCTTTCGCCGCCGCGTGCGCCAACGTTGACATGACCATCAGCACGGACAAAACGGTGGTCATGCACCAACGTTACACAACACGCAACACTGTACCCCTCCTCGAATCATTGTCGACGGCTACCAACAAAACAATAGACAACTGTACTAATCTGGGAAGCACATTTTCCAACTACATCAGAATCGGCGATGAGTTTGCCAACCGTATCTCCAAAGCCAAGCAGGCGTTCGGCCGGCTGCAGAACTCTGTGTGGAATCGTCATAGCCTCCAACTGAATACCAAACTGAAGATATACCAGGTTGTCATCCTGGCAAAACTTCTTTAAAGATCCGAGACTTGGACCGTCTACTTCAGCCATGCGAAGAAACTCAACCCCTTAGATCCCAGACGCCTTCACAGAACACTAAAGCTGTGATGACAAGACAGTATTCCCAACACGGAAGTCATAGACCGGACCGGCATCCTTAGCATTCACGCCATCCTGAGACAACTGCAGCTACGCTGGAGCGGTCATCTCGTGATGACAGAAGACACACGAGTACCAAAATAAATACGAGGACACATTGAAGAATTATTTAAGGGGATTGCATATCAATCCACGGACCCGGGAGAACCTCCTCCAGGATAGACCAGTCTGGAGAAGAGAAGACTGGCGTTGCCATCTAAGAAGCAAATCGGATCGCCGCCGCCAAAGTCGAACGGGAGTCTAGCAGATCACAAGTGCCTCGCCTCCTCAGTGCCAACTGTCAGCCGGTTCCAACATGCCTGGGATTGGACCTTGGTCCTGTTGTTTGTTTAGCGTTTAACTCACAATGGCATGTTTTAGACTGCTGCTGAGAACAACATAAACCTGTTTGTTTATGTAAATTATGTATAGAAATTTTCTTTCCAAGAACAAATGGAGTTTATCTCTATTGATCGTTAACTCGGATTTTGCACGGTTTCAGAGACTTTAGCCTAAGGTCATTAGGTCATTACGAAACGTTTCCAGTTGGGCCATGTTTTTGAATGGTTTCCGCAAGAGGTTGCTCTCCTAATGCGTGGAAGGTCTTGTTGAATGCAACCTTAATATCCTATCCATGTTCTGGACTACGCAAGTCCGCAGTTTTGTCGATTTTTGAATTTTAAAATTACGCAGGATTATTGATCTCTACGCAAATTGAGTATGTAGGCAATTATGGTTTGACGGCTATAATTCGCTTATGTTGCAGTTAGCTGAGTATGGCAACCGGAATTTTATGCGCACAAAAATTTTAATGCACATCCGAATTATCCGCTTAACAACTCCTAATTATTCGAAGTCTAAGGAGTCCATGGAGTAAAAAGAGGTTTGTCTGACAGTGCAAGATAAGAATGATGACCGCCAGACCCTATTTTCTTCCGGAACAAAAAGTGATGTCCATATTCTGCGGGACGGCTATGGTATATCATCCTTGGGAAAGCAGAAGTTAACAATGACCCTAACGCAAGCCACGAGTATGGCTGTAATGGGTAACCCCTAAAGATTTAGGGAAAACACGATCGTAACCACAAACGTAACCCTGAGTCTCAAGTCTCTAACTCAAACCCACAACCCTAATTCGAAACCCCAGCTCTAGCCTCAACCGCAAATGAAAATTATAACCCAAGCCTGAAAATATCAGCCATAAGAATAACCTAGCACCTTATACTAATCCTGTCTCCAACTGTATCCTTAACCCTAGTTTTTAGTCCGATCCGGGCAACGTTGAGTCAAAACGCTAGTGAAGATCAAAACCCTCATGCTGCATGATCACTTGCCGACCTTTTGTCAGGCAAGTCGTTATGAGCGACAGGATAGCGTTGCCGACAAAAACTTTGGAGACTGAAATGGCCATTTCCGGCTTGGTGGCGGTCGTCAGCCAGCCACACTCAAGCCCGAAGTGTTGAGCACCTGGAGATCGATTACGCGACCTGTTGGTTAGAAGCCCAAAATACTGACCGCTAAGCTACGGGATCGTTGCATTGTCAGTTATGATCGCGTAAGTACAATGGTAGGGGGCGCCCACCGATCGCGCTATGCAAACCATACTTCCCGTTGTGCCTGGGCACCGCATCACACCTACCTAGATAAGAGGGTAAATTTTCGAAAACCTTCACAGAGAGGTTAAATAACCTACTTTTACCTATTCTGACTTTGCCACACATAACAAAGCACGAAATCTCCTACTTCGAACTCAGGGAACCATCATGAAAATTACGCATTTCTCATCCTTAATATGCGCAAATATTCTCAACTTCCTTTAAAGGCCTTACCTGGTGCGCCATAAGTTATGGCAGCAATCTACAGATAGGCGTTAGCCCTCTTTCGCTAAGTCCAATCCTACCATGCCACATCACGCGATTCTCAGAAAGTAACGCACTGCGGTACGATAACACATCTTGAGAATTAGATGGTCGGCAGTAAATACCAACAAGAAAAGTAACGGATTAAAATGGTTCATTAACACACAGCTGCTTAGTAACGAAATCCGTACCTTCCCTGATGTTTGGACTTAAGTTTGCTACAGAAGCAAACAATCTGATAGACGGTGAGAGTAATTTGTCTGACCCGAACTTAACTGCCACATTTCCACAATCAGTGATATCAGTGGAAAGCAGTAAGTATGATGCTGCCTTATTTGACAGATATCGTACTCTCAGAGAGCAATCATTACTAACACCTCTAAGAGGTCAAAATCTAACCAGAGCCTATTTACACGACATCCCTTAACAACCTATGTTAACCAGATTCGGTAATGATGGCGTGCGCTAGAACACATGAGCGTCGAAGGCGGTGGCCACCTGCAGATTCTCCGGGCGACTTGAGATGATGAGCTGGACTTTGGAGTTGTAGATAGGTCCATATTTGATGAAAGATGCTAAGTTTGTTTTCGTCTACGTTCAGGGGTTTCCATTTGAAAAACTTTCCAACAGAAATCGACTGAAGCACAGGTAAGAATAGTAACCAAAATGGTCTTCAGTAATTGCGTTATGGCAGCAGGAGCAATTCCTTACTTGTTCTTTGTACGTGCCTCTCTTTTTCGGATGTGTTAATTGTAGTCCATCTGTTTTATTACAAACTGATCTTTCGTTTGATTTGATTCCATAGGAGTCTCTAATTTTGCTAAAGAGGCGGGTCTAACTACATTTCTGAAGACTAAAGACGTTTGTTTTAAGCCTTCTCTATAAATAAAGGTTGACAAAAACTTCAGTTAACGGTACAGATATCGGATATTTGACTTGCGACATGCTTACTACGTCACTTCCGACCTGCCTTTTCGTTGAGAACGATAAAAGTTTATTTTGCAAATGCAAGTTGGTGTTTTCCTTAAGGACTGCTTCTATTATCTGATGAAAATGTAGGAAACCTAGCATGCACCAGAAGATTTGACGTCTGTTTTAATGTGCTGTATTCGTCGGCGGGAATTTGAGGATTGGCGTTCGCTTGTCTGTTGCTGGATGGTTCTTGTTGCTTTTAGTAACGATGTCTAACGTATTTGGACTTGACATCGACGACTTGAAGTCAGTTTTTGATACAGATGGGACGAAAGAGATACCAATTGAGCCCACTAAGCCAAAGGAGACTCAAGACGAAGATAATGAATTCGAGGAAAAGAAACGCAAGTAAGTTGTATGCGCCCTCTTGACACATACTTTTAGAGCTGAAGCAAGCTTAAGAGATCACATTAAGAGCTCGGCTGATGACGGGGACCCCGTCATAGCAAAACGCTCGAAACTCTCGGTCGACATGAAGACGGTGCTTTCCAAGTCACCGCGCATCAAAATATACAAAATTCCTTCGCCTCCTTCATGTACACACGAAGTAACTCCTTAGTCTCAAATCACCTTAATTGCCAGGTTGCTTATCCGCCAGACGTGCCGTATGTTAAATTGGCCGAATCGAACGGACCAAAAGCCCGTTCTTTCTCCTTCACCCTTGACAGCTTCCAGCAGCAAGCCATAACATGTATCGACAATAATCAGTCCGTTATGGTGTCCGCTCATACGTCCGCCGGAAAAACGGTCGTTGCCGAGTATGTTATTTCTCTCATTGAAATTTATGCCTTTATATTTGCTACTGACACAATACACGACCCGTGAGGAACTGCTGCCAACCCTTTTTAGAAATCACGGGCACGAGTCTTTCGCTAAGTTTGTCTTTGCTGTCTTTGTCTTCTTTTTGTTAACTGCTAGCCAGTTTTTGTTACTGAAAACGATCACCTTGGTGGACATTTTGGCCTTACCCTGAGCTCTCTTGGGCCACATGAATGCCGTACATCATGCAAATGACCCAATATTTTCCGCGCGACCGATTTTTTTATCTACTTTTTACATTCATCCCGTGATTTAGCGTATCCATTTCGGCCTCCGCGGTCCCTCCTTGCTACTAAAACATAATTTACTTTGACTGTATACATGTCCGCGCCGATATCTTAAGGTACGCCATTGCCATGGCTCTTCGAGGGAAGCAGCGCGTCATCTACACAACTCCAATCAAGGCTCTCAGCAATCAGAAGTACCGCGAATTTTCGGAAGAGTTTCCGGAAGTCGGCCTACTTACTGGCGACGCGACAATCAATATGAACGCCAGCGTTCTCATAATGACCACCGAGATTCTTCAGTCTATGCTTTATCGGTATGTAGTAAATCATAATTACCGTACTTTTTGAAATTTTTTGGTCATTATGTTTTTCCTCGTCATGCGTGCGTTCTCACAGTTTTGATACCCATGCCTATCCGCAGGTCCTCAGATTGAACAGATTAAGTTGAGTAAGTTGAGTAACAAACTAGGTTGAGTAAATCCGTGACTTGTGCTAGTTGGCAGTAAATGAACTTAAATATCCAATTTCTGGATGCGATGGATTCATTTTGAAATCCTTTTAGACAACCTTGCAGTAGTCCTACATCTTCTTCTGTCGACTTAACAAAGATGACTGAAATGCAA